TTCACTAACGGGACCCTGTTTGCTCAGATCAATTCAAATAGATAAATAAATAAATAAATTTTTATTCTCGACAACGGGAGGCACTCCTTTATAGGCATGCTCATGTTATGATAACAAAGTTTGAACAAGAATTCACCAAATACATATTTGCTATAAAAATGGAACTGTGGATGCATTTGTATATAGCTGTGTGTTCGTGTAGCTTCGTAGCTTGTGCTTGTAAGTATGCTGTTGTACTAGTGATTGTTTGATGACGTTGGTGATGTAGGGATAGACGACTGATATCCCTGGATTGGATATAATTATCCGGATATCCATAGGGTAGTGGCTTTAGTTGATGGCCAGTCACATTCGCCATGTCAAAATGTTGAGAAACAGACATCTGTGGCTTTTATAGGTAGGACGCTTGCGAGTTGAAGACCCACCACGTCCTGAAACACTGAGGCCGAAATATTTGCTGAAACGGGTTACACCCGAGCCACCTAGATGTCACCATTAGGAGGTTGTTCTGCTAGCCAGCCATTATTACGCACAACTTTCCTCCGCAGTTGCCTACCGTTGGTCCGGTAACACAAATATCATAACTTTATGTTGTATGATCTTTAAATCATTACAAAACACGCATGTAAAGCGAAGCTACAATAATTGGAATTATTCCTACGGATTCAATCGCGACGAAACTGGACTGCAATGTGGTGCAATGGTTTGTGTGCCTCAGTGATCCATTGAGCTATGCTGGGTAGTGCTTTCTGCACCTTCAGAGCCAGTCATATCACATTGGTCAATGGTTAGAGGCCAGACAAACTCAGCCTCATGGTCCTCCAGGTTGGGGGTTGGAGTGAGGGTGGCTCCTTACTCCATCAAACGAGCTCTCTGCAGCCCACTGTCAAAACCCTGCTGCATTGAGGTAAGGATAGTGAACCAAAGGCTTTGGTTGAGAACCTTGATAGTTCTCCTGTCTAGGTCTGGGAAACCTGACAGTATTCGGCCCACGCAATACACCTAACGTTTCTCCAAACAATTTCTTCATACTATGGCCATCGCAGAGGATAATCAACGGCGCCCTATTTGCTGCATCGAACAGGGTGGATAGGGGTTTGGATGCTGCTGCTCTAGACTTTCCACTTTCTTATTCCCCCTCTTGCCCTTTTTCATCCTTTTTGTCCCGATGCAACATTAATTGTAGCCCCCATTTTCAATCCTCAAGTTTTGACCCACCCCCACCTTGCTTCAATAGTCGCTTGTCTTCTTGTTGCAACTCACGCACAGTCGCAGGACGTCGCTGCAATTCAGTCGACATGTCCATATTCAACCAAGCGTACAACGTCAGTTCATCCGTTTCTCTTTGGAATCCTCCATCCTCGCTAAGACTGGTATGCCTCAACATGCGCACTTTACTCCAGATTGGCCAACAGGCAGCACTTACCCGAACTCTCGAGACCCTGTCCATCGATATTTGCTGTTTATCGGAAACGCGCCCGCAAGATTCAAGCTCCGTGCTTACTCTGCGATTCCCCACACACGACACTGGCAGCACATTCTCATTGCGCCTGTCTGGCGATGATGCAGTTTCAAATGCCGGTCAAGCTGGCGTCGGCATTGTTTTGAGTCCCGGGGGTGAAGTTATCCTGATCGATTGTATCACAGTCAATAGGTGGATATGCGCCGTTAGATTAGCTGGTTCGTGCCGTGCTACGAAGTCGCGCGGAAACACACGGTACCTGTTTGTTATTGCTGTTTACGCCCCTAAAAATTGCAGTACCTATTGGGTGCACGGTGGTTTCTATCACTAAACCATTTTCTTCGTTACAGAAGCAGCACGGATACTGTAGTGTTGGCTGACGACCTAAACGTCCAAGTCGTAAAATTGTCCTCTGCTGAGCTTCAACTGGGCGGCCAACATGGCGTAGGCTTCCGTAATGACAACGGTGAGCGATTGCTACAGATGGGTGAAGACGCTCGTCTCTTTCTCGCGCGCACAAACTTTCGGCACAGCATCTGCAGAAGCCTGAGTTGGCGGCCACCAGCCTCGGGCCAGCCATGGACGCAAATCGATCATATCGCAATCAGTTATCACTTGAGAGACTGTGTCCAAAACTGTCGGTCGATTTGGAACACGAGCGTGGATCTTGACCACTCACCTGTTTGGGCCGACTTCCGGGTAGGTTTCGGTGGAAATCCGCAACGTCGGTGTGGACGGATTGACACCAGCCAGCTGGCGAAGCCAGGTGTTCTGAATATGTATTAAATTACGCTGGCATCTGGGCTGAGTAAAGTGCACTGAACGCCGTCGAAGATCACTGGATGCATATTCGTCAAACGTTACTGTTAGCAGGCATATCTTCATGTGGCAAAGCAAATTGCCACACTGGACATTGGGTCACTACAAAGTCTCTGGAACTTATGGATGCGCACCGACGTATTCCTGCTGGAAGCGAATACAAGGCGACTCGCAAAAATCTCAGGGCAAAACTCCGTGCAAGCCTGAAGAAAGACAGTGAAGCCTGGTGGCCTCATCTTGCCTCGGAAATGGAAACAGCCACTGCTCTTTGTAATCATTGTACCTTCTTCCGTCTGATACGGGAAATTGACAGCTCGAGACCTGGTAGTAGCTAGAAAATACGCGACGAGAGTGGGAAGACAATCCATGGCCGAACACTTTGCAAAGCAAACTCAGGTTGTATACCATCTGAGTTACCGCCTTCTTTTTCGGGCATTGAGGGCCCTTCTCCTTGGGCCGTCTCCTCGGATACGCCCTCAAGCGCAGAAGTCGAACGGGAGAGCAGGCTGTTGAAATTGCATAAGGCCGCAGGGATAGGTAGAATTCCTCCAGCCCTCTTCAAATTCGGGGGACCTGCTTTAGTAGACGATTTAAAGGTGTTGCTAGTGAAACTTTGGGAGCAGGAAACTGTCCCGACAAACTGGAGCCTCATCGCAATTGTCCCAATTTTCAAGGGAAACTCCCGATCGGAATACGGCGGTAGTAGAAGGATCAGTTTGATCTCAGTTGCCTCCAAATTGCTTGCGTCTGTCATCCTCAATTGAGCGACTGACACTCGGGAAAGCCAGATTCGTAAAGAGCAAACCGGGTTTCCTCGAGGTTGGGGCAGCATCGACCAAATTTTCACCTTACGTAAATTCTTGGAACACCGCCATGTTTACTGGCGACTCACTGTTATCGTGTTTCTTAACATACAAATTGCCTTCGACTTAGTCGATCTATGTGCCCTTTGAGACTGTCTGCTGAGGAAAGGTGTGCCTGCTAAATACGTAAACACTATCAAAGAGTTGTACGCACATAGTTCGGACAGAGTGAGGGTTTATGGCAAACTGCCGCCACCCTTCAGTAACACCAGCGTTGTGAGACTAGGATGCCCGTTGTCACCTTTCCTCTTCAACTTCGCTATTGATGAAGTCATGGAAACAGCGTTCGCTGGACGCGACCTAGATGGTGTGGAGCTACTTCCTGGTGAGCGACTTCTTGACTTGGAGTATGCGGACGATAGAATCCCAATCTGTGACAGCTCCCAAACAGTCCAAGCAGCACTGTACCGATTAGCACTGGCTGTCAATCGTTTTGGGTTATGCTTTGCTCCATCGAAATGCAAAGTACTTCTCCAAGATTTTCAAGGACCCAACCCTGCGCTAACGCTTGGTGGGGATCTGCTAAAAGTCGTTCAGAAATTCAAGTACCTGGACAGCTATATTAGCACCCGTGGGATTGAAGATGAGGTTACGAACCGTATAGCAAAAGCTTGGGGGACTTTGCCAATCCCCGCCACCTGTGGCGCAGACGCGACATTACTCTCGCCCTGAAGGGCAGAGTTTATAACGCAGCCGTCAGTTCAACTCTCCTATATGGTTGTGAAACTTGTCCCATCAGGCCAAAAGACATATATAGGCTCATCACATTCGATCATCGCTGCATTCACAGCTTAGCTCATGACTTATGGGAACACTGCGTGAGCAATGAGCATGTTCGGCGTCTCGTATGTGATGCAGGATGCGCGGGTGAACCGCTCAGCACCACTAGATAACGCACTAGGCGCCGATGGTTGGGCCATATGTTGCGCATGCCAGCACACCGACTTCCGCGACGTGCATTGTATGCGCGTTGTGGGTGCGGTTGGAAGAGGAGGAGGGGATGCCAAGCGATGACTTAGTCGAGAAAAATGAAAACACTGAGTTCGAAGTTGGTGTCGGTTGTTGCATCCCAACGGTCTGGCTGGGGTCCTAAAGATGAGGAACGCTTTCAGATATAGCGAAGAACCTGTCCCCATGGCTCTTGTGTTGTGAGTTTATTTGTTCATCCCCTCTCTTTAGGTTCCCCCTCCAATTCCGATCTCATGCAAAACGCATAAGCAAATATCCAACATCATTTTTTGTGGTGTAATTTTTGTACTTTATAGTGCAATATTTTAGTCTGTTATCTTTTTTATTGCGGCACATTAGCTGAGGTGTGTGTCACACCCTACCGGTTTTACCCTCGGCAATTACTCCACCCTAGCCAACTGCAATCAAAAGAGACTACGGAGCATGGTGCAGTGAGAGTATCCAACAGTCCACAAGCAGAGGAACAGAGGAACCTCGGCTTGTATGAGAGGAAATCCCTTTCAGCCAGTGTCACGGAGGCGCTTCCGTTCTGCTGCTCTTCAGCGCACACTACCGCGTCATCCGCTACCTCATCTGCTCAGTCGTTGGAGGACACTGGAGTCTCATCGAACTTGACGAGTTCATTTAACTTGTTTGGAAAGAGTGACGCAAATATACTCTCTTTTCCTCCCCTCCCCGTTGGCCTGAATATTTTTGATCCGTCCAACAGCCAAGCTGCGTCCACGGTGAACAGTTTGACTTTCAAGATAGACAACATCACAGGATCACCATTCACTGCTGCGCCAACGAGTAGACCAAGCGACTCACTGCAATGTGACCTGTGTCCACAGACATTCTCTAACCGGACAGAATAGGATAAACATTGTGCTCAACATCTGCTACAACAAATGGGTAAGTAGTATTTCGTTCCACCGCCCAAGAACAACAAGTATGAGGTTGGTTCTTGATCGTCAAAATCCCATTACAGAGATTGACAGCAAAGTCCATCCACAACTTAGCAAGCCGTCTGTCTTACATACGCCTCATTGTCTTCACCCATCTAACATTTCCTATATACTTGTGGGTGTGAACAGAGGTGGTGTGGGTAGTGGGCGTTACAGCATTTGAATGGACAGTTGAAAACCGAGTGAAATAGTTTTTAATATATGTTTTCTGGACTGGAAATGGAGTGCTACACGAGAAAGGATCACTCGTGCCTCATGGAGGCGTTTCTCGCTTAACCCACGGGCTCAGCGAATTACTTCCTTGCTGCTCCTCGGTGAAGGGAACCAGAAATTGGAAAGCTTTAAGCCTCATTATTGGACAGATGTGTAGTGCAGGTATGGTTTTCCCATCGAATCAGCCATCTGGACATTTCGCATGGCTGAGACAGTTTTCCCAAGAATACAAGTATGGCCAAGCCTGCATACACTGTGATCGCCCTACCATGGCGCGTCTCGGCCCGGCCGGAATTGGTTCCCATTTTTGTAGCCACCATATGGTGGTTAATTTGAGCAGTTTGTTGCATTTTTGATGATTCCTCACCGCAGTTGGGCTAAACCAACTTACACTTACACTAGGTTGCTTTAAGCTGGGTACATTTCATTCCACTTTATCTGCATTGTTCTGCCTACCTGAATAATCTATTATTAATTGGCCACATTGCTTACGCTACTTGCGCTTATCACCGGTAACTATGTTGCGTTTGTGGCCTTTTTAATTAACAGGTGGACATTTCTTACTTATCGCGGATTTGTTGCTAACCAACTTACTTCATATGGTAATTTAGCGAAGAGTTATGCCACCATATTTGCATGCATTATTGGATGTATTTTATTTCATCTTGTCATTTCAACTGAATGGCTGTTGCTTGATATCCCTGGTGTGGCTGCGCTTGATGTGCATGTTGACAAGGTGCCTACCTGTCTATTACTCACTACCCCGTCCATACTGGCTCCAGGAGACAGTTGGTCGTTGCTGGAGGGGACAGGGTGCACGGTTCTTGTGGCCGTGCTAGGCTCAAAGAGCGGTTCCATGCACTCAGTGTGGAGCGGACTACGGTCCAGCCACCGCCTTGTGTGCGTTTGGTTCCCCAAATACAGCGTGCTTGTGTTTACCTGTGAAGGAGTGTGGGCCGGCTCGGTTGATGAAACATGGCTCCCATCCACATGCCTCCCGGTCTTATTCCTTCGGGTTTACACTGGATATGGGGTGTGCGGATGGAGCTGTGGGTGGTGCAGTGCAAGCCACCCATGGTCCCTCTGTAGGCGCAGGCGTCCTGTGGCTGGCCATAGTGACAGGCAAATCCGAAACCAGATGCCGCTAACCATATTTGTGATACAACTTACCGCCTGCTGCGTCTACCTTTTCCATTGTACTCGCAATAGTAAGCACGTGGGCCGAACTGAGTGGGGCTGTCCAGGAGGATTTTAGAACACGTCCGGCGGAACCTGGTGGCAAATAAACCTAAGCTGACGGTTAGCGCCATCGTTCAGCTTATCCTTGATTGCTCTAGGTGCCAACATTCATTGGAATCATTCAGAATCATTAATCGACAGAAGATTGCGCATCTGCTCTAGTTGTCAGAAGGTTCAGAGATTCGTCAACTGAAATCCAATTTGTGTAAGCAGACGGCGTTTGTGATTACCCTAGCCTCGCCTTGTCTTGGTGAGGTTATCGATTAGCTTTAATAAAACGGAACTCACGCATTGTTTTGCCGTCGTGTAACACGGATTTTACTGATTGTCTGTACACAGCTGATGGCCAGACACGAAATACCTGAATGGAGAATATTCGGTTGAAGTGTTCTTTTGTTTGGCAATTCGCAGACACCTTAGATTGGATGAAAATCGATGGAGCAAGGATATGCGGTGTGTTTCGGTCAGAGAAATGATGTGAGATTAATGCGTCAGGAAGGAAAGAGGAATCCATTATAAAGATTTGTATTGATAATTTCGGAATAAATACCTATTCCCGAGCTTTGTGTACTGTATAATCTTATTTTCAAACGTGGACCACCCAGTCGAAAACAACTACCCTTGAGCAGCAGAAGCAAATTCGCCTTAGCAATTACATGCACAATATGGACAACAATACGATTTTGTGTGGATTGGATCTCAGGAGAGAGTACTAAAATTATGAAGTAGTGGCGCCCCAACATGCCGGTTAGTAACAATGAAACGGACACATGTATAAATTATCTGTTGCATGTTAAAGGAAACAACCTCATCGCACACGCCCTTAACGTCGTACATATTACTAAACCGACAAAGGCACCGCTATACAAAGAGATATAAAACACTTGCAAATGGTAATATAGTCTTTGTCGGAAATCGTAATTACCTCAACACTTACGTACGGTTTGTCATCAACTATCACAATGTTATGTGGTGGAGCGGGTGAATACGGAGTCTGTTCCAACAGGAAACCCATCCGGCGCTTTACATGCATTCTCCTTAAACCGGTTCCCCTGTATTCTAATGAGTCAGCATAACAACTACCATTCAGTCCTTAGATTTGTTATCGGGTTTCGCGCATTATACAAGGGACCTTTGAGAACATCGACGTGGGGTTCGAACGGAAAGGCTGAGAACTCGTCTAAGGTCCCCTGCAACTGATCTTCTACAGGAAGATGTCTTAAAGAATGATCGTTGAAAAGCATCTCATGTTTGCCACAAACGGTACAATAATCCTGTAATAAATTGCAGGAGGAAAGGATTGGCCTACAGCTTCAGAGCGTAACAAAGTATATATATATATATATGTAATAAATTTGTAATAAATTTGTAAATAAATTTGTAAATTTGTAAATTTGTAAATAAATTTGTAATAAATTTGTAATAAATTTGTAATAAATAAATAAATAATAAATTTGTAATAAATGTCGGTACAACTTCCTTGGTAGTACATCCATAAGAACTGCCAGGCCCATGTGCAACAGAAACTGCCCGTATTCCGATGCTATTTAAAACTCATATATTCTAATCCGACCATACGTATGTATGTAGCTGAGTCATCCTGCAATCTTAGTTTCCTATTCGCTCGTGCTTCATTCTACATTGATATCATCCGGCTCATAAAGCCCAGGCAAGCGGCATGCATGTATGTGGTGGAAACAACGCAACTACAACAGTGAAGTTAGATGTTGTAGCTTTGGGAATGTGAGTATTCCGTTCAACAAGCTGATTTTACTGCGTCCGTCAAGATGGCTTGGTCACGTCCTGCGGATGTCAGCCGAACATTTGTACTAGTGCGCGCTTTGCACTCGTGCAGGACTTGTCTGGAATAGACCATGTGGAGGTCAGCCATCCAATTGTCGACAGCATATGAAATAGTTGACTTCACATAATGTCACCGTTGAGCTTCATCTGGGCGGCCAACGTGGTGTAGGCTCCCGTAAGGATAATGGTGAGCGATTGCAACAGCTGTGTGAAGATGCTCGTCTCTTTCTCGCGAGCACAAACATTAGAGACAGCACCCCCCGCAGAAGCGTGACTTGGCGGCCACCAGCCTCGGGCCAGCCATGGACGCAAATGGCCCATATCGCGATCAGTTATCACTTGAGAGGCTGTGTCCAAAACCGTCGCTCGATTTGGAACACGAGCGTGGACTCTGACAACGCACTTGTCTGTGCCGACCTCCTGGTGCGTTTCGGCGAACGTCCTCAACGTCGGTGTGGACGGATTGACACCAGCCAGCTGGCGAAGCCAGATGTTCTGAATGTGTACCAAAGTGCGCTGACATCTGGGCTGAGTAAGGGCCCACTAAACACCGTTGAAGATCACTGGTCCCATATTCGTCAAGCGTTGCTGTTAGCAGGCATGTCTTCATATGGCAAAGCAAATTGCCAAACCGACATTGGGTCTCTATACAGTCTCTGGAAGTTATGGATGCTCGCCGACGTATTCCGGCTGGAAGCGAATACAATGAGACTCGCAAAAATGTGAGGGCAAAACTCGTGCTAGCCTGCGGAAGGACCGCGAAACCTGGTGGTCTCATCGTGCATCGGAAATGGAAACCGCCGCTGCCGTTGGTCATCATCGTAAGTTATTCCGTTTGATACGGGAAACTGGCAGCAGGAGACCGGGTGTTAGCGAGACCATACGCGACGCGAATGGGCAGACGATCCACAGCCTGTCAAAACGCTTGGAGCGTTGGGCTGAACACTTTGCCAGGCAATTCCACACGTCTTTCTGGTTGTGGAGCAAAGGAGGAAAAGTGCCAATGGCGGGAAACAATTCAGGATATGGCTCGTAATCGAAACCGGTGGATGATCTGTGTACGCAATTGTTTAGATTTAGATTCTTAATGTCTAACGATAGAAAAAGAGAAAAAATAACAAAAAGTGCTTCGTTTTTTCTTTTATTGTGGCACAATAACTGAAGTGTTTTTCTCACATTTAGCTAATGTGCCATGATGATGATTCGTTGAATAGACTTGTCTGCATCTAGAGATTTTGGTGGTTTTGTTTGACTCCATGTCTATTTGCCAGACTACCGTATATACATACCTACATTCAGTCCATGGGAAAGTCCTTAAACCAATTTCTGGGATACACCCAACTAGTGAGATAATATTGTGACCATGTGCCCTCAAACAACTATTAGTGTTAAGACGGCAACTGGGCATTGGAAATGCTATCTTACGGTTAACAGAAATGCCCTGTTGCGTGGAGTTATTGCAACCGCCGTAACCTGAATGGGTCTTCGTTATCTACACAAGCAACCGTGCAGACTCATCACATATGTCTGCTGTAAGTTTTACTTTTGTTTGTGTTTGACGCCGTTGAAATATGATGCTATTTTCCATTTGAGAGTGTAAAGAAATAATGGGTACACATAAAAGCTGGTTTACATCATGCCGTTTCCCTGGACATCAGTACACCCATACGACATAAGATGCAGAATGCACTG